ATCATAGTGCATATATCCTAATGAAAGATTTTCTTTAGAAAAAGAGGAGTTAAGGCATCCAAGAATTTCTTACATATTAACTGTATCCTAATTGTTGTCACTTAGTTTAGGTTAAAGCTCTGTCTCACAGTGTCTATCAGATGATTATCATTCTTTGATTGATGGGACCTGACTTATGTTTTAAATATTATATAGGTATTATTTTATGACATTATAGTAGCTTCTTTTGAATATCTTCTGTATACAAGGGTGGATACATTTGAGTGTTTGATACAATCTGTCTTCTAAAATCTTTAACTGGCTTTATATGAATAATGGAATAGATTTCAGGTAAATATCATGTAGCAGGGATATACATAAGAAGAACCACCTATAAATACCTGATAAATACAGTATATATATATGCATGTGTGTATATATTGCTGGGCCCTGCAGCATACAAACACACACGCTATATTTTGACAAGTACATATTTGGGGATTTTATATCAAGCAGAGATGAAAACAGTACAGGAATACAGGAATATGAAAATGTATTTAGAAAACATAGGTAATCCCTAAGAGCATTTTTTCCTTCATGAAATCTAAAGTGGTCTGTTTACACCTGAGTGCTAGAGTCAGGGAGCTGGGCACAGCGGCAGCCGTAGGGATTGCGGGGCGTCTACATCGTGCAGAGGCTGCTGGCCTGCGGTTCCTGCTGGCGCTCCATGTGCTCTCCTCGCCTCTGCTGGGTTGGAGGCAGCAGCCTGCTTCTCCCTGTAGCACAGACACAGTAAGGAGTTATGAGAGACATTCTGTTTTTACTTTTGAAGTAAATATATCACATAACCAAAGATAAAGCAATATTATGTTAGTATTGTTACTGTATTATCTAATTTAGAGGGTCCTACTGTAAACCAGGCTACTGATAGTCTCTTAATGAATTTTGATTTGTTTGGCTGATTGTTCGATGATTGTAACAGTTATAACTGCAGGATTTGACAAGAGATCATTCGGCACTCTTGAAGGAAGGAATCTGCTTTAAGTTGTTTCTTTCTTTAAATAGGCCTGCACAGCATCATATTTTCCTTTGAAGGTAAGACTCCTTCCTAGTAATTATGTTCTTAGCTGACATGAGAAGGTTGAAGGATTTAAAAAGAAAAATAAGCAAACCTCTATTTTTAGAAGCTGAAACCAGAACCATGCTTTTGGCATTGATGGTGAAGAGAAGCTCAGTAATTTAGAACCTGCAGCTTTCTATTCTCTCCGAGTCTTCAGTTCACAGTCCTGTTTTTAGAATTATACAAGCTGGTTTTTATGCCTGCTTGGAATGTCTCTTATAGTAGGATGGGATCATCTTTTAAAAAAGAATTTAGAAATAGTAAAATAATAATTTAGATGCCGTAAGTCAGTTCAAAGCTAAAAAGCCTGATACAGTAATTGAAAAGGCTAGTAATAGGAAGAACAAATCAGCTGTGGCCTGAGCATCTCCAAACAAGGGATAAGAATCAAACGGTTGTGTGTGATCGATTTTAACTCATGTTCGCTGAAGAAGAATCCACTGAAACATTAAAAAATATAGATCTGACAGCACCAGAGGCTGATGTAACTTAAACCATATGTCTTTTTACCCTTGTTACTGATATTTTGAACATATACCCTTTTTCAGTCATTAAGGAGAGGAATTTAATCATAACACTAGCTTTGAAAAACTTTCTTCCTCTGTGCTACTTACTTTTGAAATTATAATTGTAAGAAGAACTGTATATTAAGAATCTTTTTCTCAGCCTGAGACTTTTTTCTGTTGTTAGTATCAGATATCTCTTTATTATATTTTTTTTGTTTCTACGAAGTTAGGTTTTCTTTTAAATTACTCTGAAGATTTTACGATAGGGACCTGTCCTGAGAATACACTGTCTGTCTGTAGAATTTCTACACTGAAAACTTAAATCATGTTTCTCTTTCATGCTACAGACATTTATTTGCTGGTCTTCATTGAGGGGTCTTATGCCTGATATTCTCATCACCTGGTGATAGGTAAATAGGAGATAAGGGAGATATCCCTTGGAATAGTTGAGCTGATAACACCTTAAAGAGCTTATCAGTGGATGAATACAGCAAAGCATCTTTACTTTGCAAGTTCATCTTAGGAGCATATTCCAAGTAGGAGACTATACTAGGAACTCGCGTGGAAAATATTCCATCTCCCCAAATAAGGCACAAGTTCATTTGAGTTTTCCATTTCTACGGAACACACTTCCTCTTGAAGACCTGAAGACACCCTTTTACCCCCAGTGAGTAATTCTAAGTAATTACTACAGATGAGAGAATTCCCCATTTCCATTTAATATTGCCAGGAGATACTCTCTTTGGTTATATTCATTCGTCTCTTCCAGATATGTGCATGAATATTAAAACCATACTAGTTAAATGACTGCTGAAAGTAGGATGTCTTAATTTGATTTTGCTATTTGTAAATGTAAGCTTTGTTATCAGATTAGAAGAGATGAAAATGATTGAAAATGCTCAGTATCAACAAGAATGAGGAGAACTGAACATTTTCTTACCTTTACTGTAGTGGGAAGACAGATTGGTAAAATTTGTCTATAGGCAATTTTGTAATATGTGTCCAAACTTAAAATACATATGCCTTGGACCTGGCAAGTCTACTTCTATGTATATATAATTATATAATAAGAAAATAATAGACAAATGGGAAAAGGTATTTGTAAAAGAATTTTATCATTGTTTATAATAGCAAAAGGAAACAAATGTATATATTTCTAATTTCAGTAGATTTAGGGGATAATAGTGGTTTTTTAACATATGGATGAATTGTATAGTGAAGTCAGGACTTTTAGTGTACCTGTCACTCAAATAGTATACATTGTACCCAGTAGGTAATTTTTGATCCCTCACCCCCCTTCTACCGTCTCCACTTCTGAGTCTCCAGTGTTAATTATACCACTCTGTATGACCATGTATGCCCATTGCTTAGCTCCCACTTATAAGTGAGTACATGTGGTATTTGTTTTTCTGTTCCTGAGATACTTCACTTGGGATAATGGCTTCCAGTTCCATCCAAGTTGCTATGAAAGACATTTTTTGATTCTAATTTTTATGGCTCAGTAGTACTCCATGGTGTGTATGTGTGTTTACATACATATATACATATATGTGTGTATATGTATATATACACATGTATACATATATACATATATGTATATGTATATGTGTATATATATATATGTGTATATACACACCACATTCTCTTTATCCACTCATCAGTTGCTGGGAACTTCAGTTGATTGCATATCTTTGCAATTGTGAATTGTGCTGTGATAAACATATGCATGCATGTGTCTTCTTTCTTTCTTTTTTTCTTTCTTTTCTTTCCTTCATCTCACTCTGTTGCCCAGGCTAGAGTGCCATGGCATCAGCCTAGCTCACAGCAGCCTCAAACTCCTGGGCTCAAGCAATCCTTCTGCCTTAGCCTGCTGAGAAACTGGGACTACAGGCATGCATCACCATGCCTGGCTAATTTTTTCTGTATGTTTTTAGATGTCCAGCTAATTTCTTTCTATTTTTAGTAGAGACAGGGTCTTTTCTCTTGCTCAGGCTGCTCTTGAACTCCTGAGCTCAAATGATCCTCCCACCTTGGCCTCCCAGAGTGCTGGGATTACAGCCATGAGCTACTGTGTCCAGCCCCATGTGTCTTTTTTACATAATGATGTCTTCTCCTTTGGGTAGATACCCAGTAGTGGGATTGCTGGATTAAATGACAGGTCTACTTTTAATTCTTTGAGGAATGTCCATACTGTTTTCCATAGAGATTGTACTAATTTTACATTCCCACCAGCAGTGGATAAGCATTCTCTTTTCACTAAATCTGCACTAACATTTGTTGTTTTTTGACTTTTTAATAATGGCCATTGTGATGTGGGTAAAGTTGTATCTCATTGTGGTTTTAACTTGCATTTCCCCAATGATCAGTGATGTTGACCATTTTTTCATATGTCTGTTGGCCATTTGTGTATCTTCTTTTCAAAAAATTCTGCTCATGTGTTTTGCCCACTTTTTAATGGGATTATTTGTTTTCTTTCTTGCTGTTTGAGTTCCTTGTAGATTCTGGATATTAATCCTTTGTTGGATGTGTAGTTTGTGAATATTTTCTCCCTTCTGTAGATTATCTATTTGCTCTTTTGGTTATTACTTTTTTGCTGTGCAGAAACTTTTTAGCTTATTGAGTCCCATTTATTTATTTTTGTTTTGGGGTCTTAGTCATAAATTCTTTGTCTATGCAAATATCCAGAAGAATTTTTCTCAAGTTTTCTTCTAGAATTTTTATGGTGTTTGGTCTTGCATTTAAGTCTTTAATCCATCTTGAGTTGATTTTTGTGTATGGTGAGTCACAGATAGGGATCCAGTTTCATTCTTCTATCTGTGGCCTTCCAATTGGGAAACAAATATTTTTTAATAGAGGATTAATAAATTATAGTATTTCATACAAGGGAATATTATGACACTTTTTTAAAAATATTATGACACTGTTAAAGGGACATTTCATGTTGTATTTATATTGGCATTGAAAAATATTTACTATGCACTACTACATGAGAAAAGATTACAGAACAATGTGATTTGTGTAAAATGATTCCATTCTTGTTTTTAAAGTATGTATTTATGGATGTATATTTTGAAATCTGGTTATACACTAAATTGCTATTTATAGTGGTTATTTTTGAGGGGAGGGAGAGAATAACAGGGGCCTCTCATATTCTAATTTGTATACTTTTCTATGGTTTAAAATTTTATATCAGCTTGTATTGATCTCATAGTCAAATAAAATGGTAAATATGTTTACATTCTGAAAAACAAAAGAATATACATGTTTGGAGTAGGCAGTATGATATTGGCCTCCGTGTAGTATTCTTTTGTGGAGTGTCCTTATAGTATTTGCTGAAGTGTATCATGAGCATCTCCAATCTATTTTATGTAGTTTGGCACATTTTCCCTGTGCAGTGAGAAGATTGCTGACGTCTGGCATCGTGATTCAGGTGTTTCCACTGCATGATAATGAAGCCCTGAAGAAGCTTGAGGACACCTGGTACACGCGGCTTACTTTAAAGTATCAGCCTATAGGTATGCGTCAATATCTGATCTCTTACAGAAGAGGAAGCTTCACCTGTAATGAAAAGTTATGATCCAGCAGTGGAGTCATCTCTCTTGGGCAAATATTTAGTGCTCTGCTACACAGGGCTGATCAGCTGCATGCGAGAACACATTTTCTTGGGGGAGTAAAATGGGTTAGATGACCTATTCATTCTTTTTTTTTTTTAACTTTCTAATACTATTCTAGATCGACTGAAACACAAGCTTTCACTAAATTTCACCAACAACACAGGCAGTTCAGAGCAGCATTCATAAATATGTGTCAGAGTTGGAAGAAAAAATTTTATAAGAATTTAGTTTGCTTGTGAATATTTTGTACTTGTAAATTTCTATGTCTGAAGAGCTAATTATTTAGAGTGGGCCAAGTTGTGCTTATCTTTAGGGCAGACTAGCAGCCCCAAACATCTTTTGAGGTAGTTTATGCTTATTTTGGTGTGTATTAGTGGATTTATCCATTTTCTCTGAATATGGTTATAAGAATAATTACTGATTTATTTGGTACGTGACAACCATTAAAGTGATGTCAATATGGATGTTCAAATTTTTGGGTTTGGTTATGTTTTTAAAGCATAAGAATTGCATTTAAGCTGGTAGATTTTACCTTAAGCAGCATTAGTATCATGTTTTTCTTTAAAGGATATTTTAATTTTGATTTTGTTTAAGGGAATCTTTCTAAAATAATTTTATTTCTAATTTCCATTCTGAAAATAACATAATGTTATAACAATAAACAAAAATTGTTTTTAAGATCACACTCTGAAATTGTATTTAGAGGTTTTTCTTGTATTCTCTGAAAGGAAAAGTTTGCTTTTGATACTTCCAGGTCATACAATAAATCATTTATGTTCCACTTATAATACTTTTTCACTTTGTTTGGCATTAAGTGGCAGTAAATTTGAATTGCCTCTAGGACTTGTAAAGTGATAGTATCTCTTAGCTTTTTCGTAGGAAGGGGAGAAAGTGAGTTGATGGTGAAGGCTGGGTCTGGGTGCTGTGGAGGGTGCTGGAACTGGTGGTAGTAACTGGGGCCCAGGCAAATCTTGAGCTTCCCCAAGATCAAAAGGGGGAAGTCATCTGCTTTGGAGCCTGGCACCATGAATACCTTTTTTTTTTTAATTGATAGGATATTCTTTGACCTGATTTAGATTTGAAGTGACTGCATCATGCCAATTGTTTTCATTTGCAACTGGGTTAGCTAGATTTAAGGATAGGAGATAATAGCTTAGTCCAGTTCACACTAACCTACCTTCATAGACTGATCTGATCACATTGTATTAAAAAGAAATACCTATATATATCTTTTAATTGCATGTAAGTATTTCTTAAATAATGCCAGCTGCCACACTTCTGCCCACCCCCACATCCCACCCTGGTCTCAGTGCAGGGTCCTCTTATGATCCAGGCATTCCCCATGTGGATGAGGCTGACAAAGGATGCAGTGTTTGTGACCTTTCTTGGGTTAGTTTGTGTTGAGTTTGTAGAATATTAGTAGTAATGTTGCTTGGACCTTCTTCTGCACACTGCTTATGTGAAAGTATAGATAGATGGGTTCCTTGGCTGTTCTAGAAGTTCATGTGTAGAATCCTGTTTTATACTTCTGAATAATCTTTCTTCAGTGTATTGAAAAATTTGCTGTAACACATTGATGAAAGTTTATATCTTTGGGTAGGGAGAGCAGGATACTATGGATGGGGAGTCCTATTTATAAACAACATTTATAACTATAACACTAAAGTGGGAGAAAAGTGGGGAGCATAAACCCCCAAATTAAAATGGTTCAATGGCCATGGCTGAACATAAATCAGGGCCTTGGAGATTCTGGGGAAGCACCAAGATGAATTTTTCTTTGGGAAGAAGGTATCCACCAGGTGAGGAAGTAAAAGGGAAACAGAGTCAGGGCACCTGGCAAAGCAGCCTCAGCAGCCAAGGCCTGGGCCCTAAGCTTTGGGAAATGTGGGCTTGCCATAGTGACAAGCTCAGTCTTTGCATTGCATGGAGGATGGATTCACCACCATACCCCGATTGGGAAATGGGGGTATTAAATGATCCCCACTTAATTACAAAATGGATGAGCTTACTTGAAATGATTTTTAAAAGTCTTTGGTAGTCTGTACTTAAGTTTTTTCTTTCTTTCTGCTATAGACAATATTCGTGGCTACTTCGGGGAAACCATTGCTCTTTACTTTGGATTTTTGGAATATTTCACTTTTGCCTTAATCCCCATGGCCGTCATTGGGTTACCTTACTACTTGTTTGTGTGGGAAGATTATGACAAGTATGTGATCTTCGCCTCATTCAACCTGATCTGGTCCACGGTGATCCTGGAAGTGTGGAAGCGTGGCTGTGCCAACATGACCTACCGGTGGGGGACACTGGTCATGAAGAGACAGTTTGAGGAGCCGCGGCCAGGATTTCATGGCGTTCTGGGTGTCAATTCCATCACTGGCAGGGAGGAACCTCTCTACCCAAGCTACAAGAGACAGTTGCGCATTTACCTGGTCTCTCTGCCATTTGTGTGCTTCTGTCTCTATTTCTCTCTTTATGTCATGATGATTTACTTCGACATGGAGATCTGGGCCTTGGGTCTACATGAGAATAGTGAGTCTGAGTGGACCAGTGTCTTGCTGTATGTGCCCAGCATCATCTATGCCATTGTGATTGAGATCATGAACCGCCTCTATCGATATGCTGCTGAGTTTTTAACTTCATGGGGTAAGACTTGATGCTTTGTATTCATGTCTTATTTGCCTGTAAGAGATAGTGCTTAGATCATAGCTCCTACCTTGTAGAGAAGATAGATATTGCTGTAGGTTCATTGTAGAGACATAATGAAAAGTTCATCAGCTTTGTGAGTACTGATCTCCATAACATGGTTATCACAGCTCTAGTTTATTCAGTGTTAATTACTATGTTTTGGGTGCCTTTCTAAGCATTTTATCAACACTATCTCATTTTCACCTCAGGGCCCCATGAAATAGAAGTTATTTCACCATTTTATGGATAAAGATACTGACACTTAACAGGGTTCAGAGAGCAAAAGTAGACCCAGGCTAATTCAAAACCAATCTGTCTAAAACCTGTACTCCTAATGCTGTAACTGTGTTTTATGCTGAGGGTAAAATAAGTTAAAATTATCTTCATGATACTTGGTCAAATGAACTATGACTAGTTTCATAAAACTACTGGTTTAGTTGGTATGGGGCACTGAGGACTGCCACTGAGCTCAGCGAAGGCAGGTGATCATGGATGTTTCTGTGGTAAAGAAGGGACTTGATTGTAAATTAAAAAGGGTCTTGATTGATTATTTAATATTTAATTTGTTTATTCATTCAAACAAATATGCTTATGTTATTCCCTAGGAAGAAGCCTAGGCCTTAACCTCATGGGCCATGAAGATGTTTTAAATTATTTTTATTAGTCATATAACAATAACAGCTGCTGGTTATTGAATGCTTTCCTTGTGCTGATACTAGGCTAAGGTTTTATATTATTTCTGATCCTGAGAGTGACACTGGGAGGAGGGTGGTCACCCCTGTTTTGCAGGTGAGGAGGCTGGGTTCCAGGAGGTTAAGTAACGTACCCAAGGTCAGGCAGTGGCTGAGTTGGTGTTTGAATCCAGGTCAGTCTGTCACTGCCTCTCTGTGTAAGATGACACTTCTCTTCAGAATCTTCCTGTTTGCCATTTTTGTCACTTGGGATCTATACAGTGTCACCTTTTCCAGATGGGGATGGAAATTTTAGTTTCCCTTCAAGTTAATCCTTGTAAGGCACATGTACAAACATCTTTATTTGCCCTCTTCTTATAGGTTATTATCAGTTTTTACTATTACTGCTTTTTTGGGTGGCTGTCTGTAGGATCATTTGCCAACACTTCCCAAGTTACTTTGTGGCAGTACTATTTCAAAAGTAATTTCAGACTATAATGCTATTGTGGTACTGTGAAAAATGTGTCCTGGCTTGATGTTCTTTGTGGTAGGGAATGGCAGTGACTGACAGCCTGGCACATTTACCAACTGTGACTCTAGTGTTGTGCATCTCTGCCCTTCCCACAGATCCCACTTTACCTCGTGACAGTGCTCCCATACTGTTTGCTTACTGAGAAAAATTGCTACTTCTTTTTCTTTTTCTTTTTATATTTTAGAGAATCACAGATTGGAATCTGCCTATCAGAATCACCTAATTCTGAAAGTTTTAGTGGTAAGTACAGTATTTATGTACAAGTTCATTTTGATTATGAAACTGATGCATACTACTGAATATTTAGGAGTATATATATATATATGTAAAGAGTTGCTTCTAATTTAAGATGTTAGTGTATATATTTTGTGTAGATAGGTATAGAAATTAGTATTAGAGCCTATTTCCAGTTATGTAAAGAACTAATGACTTGATAGACATGTTTCTGTTTTTTCCCTTTTGGGATCTCTTTGAATGTTTTACTATTCGATAGTCCTTCCAGGTACCTGCAGTCTGTTTAGTGATGGAACATTCAATTTTTAAAAATAATTTTGGTAAAGAAATTTCCAAAGTCCAAAAGGTTCCCACCATATTTTGATGGGTAGGAGGAAAAATATGGAGAGAAAGCATTGTGTAACCTGCTTGCTGTTCATGTAAAAGTTCACACATTATGCTTCTTTCCACCATTGTTATAAAGAATAAAGAAGTACCAGCTTGAAAGCACCTCATTTATCAGGAGGTTACCTCAGCCGTCTGTAACATAACTGAGAATCAAGAAAGATGTGTAAAGAACCCTCTGAACTTTCAACTGGAATTGATTTAACATGGTTCATGTACTTAACTCCCAAGAGAGGGATCCAGGCCCTCACTTAGAAAGAATTTTTGTTCCATCTGTAGCCATCATTCTAAGAAGTTTATCTGTCTGGTTTTTCAGTTCATAAAAGATCAGAAACCACCATCATGAGGGTGTTTAGAATTCTGGAAGTAGGTAAACTTATAGAAGAAGGACAGGTAAGGAAAGAGAAAGCCTGTCGTAGATAAGAATTCAACAATTTGGGCATTAGTAAAGGGACAAGTGGCCATACACATCTAAAAAGTCTCTGAAGGCCTCATTCACACTGTGAAATGATTGATGTTTAAAATGTGTTGCTGAATCAGTAAGGAAGTTATGTTCTATGTTCTTTGTGTAAGAAAGCAGGGGAGGGGAGGCTGAGGCAGGAGGATCGCCTGAGCACAGGAGTTTGAGGTTGCTGTGAGCTAAGCTGACGCCATGGCACTCTAGCCCAGGCAATAGAATGAGACTCTGTCTCAAAAAAAACCCAAAACAAACAAAAACACAAATATGTATTAAATGTCTACCCTGTGACAAACATTACTTAAAGTACAAGGTAGGGAGATATCAGTTAACAAAAGAGATAACTCCTTCTGTCCTAGAGTTTACATTCTAGTGTGTGTTAGAGGACCTACCAAAGAATATTCAAAGGGGGAAAAAAGAGGATTTTATTTATTTATTTATTTTTGAGACAAGAGTCTTGCTTTGTTGCCCAGACTAGAGTGAGTGCCGTGGCATCAGCCTAGCTCACAACAACCTCGATCTCCTGGGCTCAGGCAATCCTGCTGCCTAAAAAAAAAGAAAAAATAAAAAAGGAAAGCAGGGAACACATGATGGTTTAAAAAGTTCATTTAAAAAGATTATAATGTGGAGGTTTTGCCTTCGGGGGTAAAAATACTCCATTTGTCTTAAAGAATTCAGTTATTTGCGAGACACTATTATTCCTTAACAGGAATACAGATACAATGTCAAGTAACTGCCTTGTAAAAGTACCCATAAGTTAGAATCTGTTCTTCCTCTACGGTGATTCTTAGATCTCTCCCTCCCTTTTTAATTTTATGGGGATGACATTTCTCAGCCTTCCCAGGCTTTTACTTTTCAACCTCTACCCTAACTTGGTACCCCCTGTCCTGTGGCCATATTGATCTTACCACTCACTCTCTAACATGACTCCCCATCTCCTCACTAAATAAGTGCTCCCTTTTGTACAACGGCAGCCTTCCTTTCAGAAAGTGTTGCTACACTTTCTGAAAGGAAGTAGCCAGCAGAGGACTGGGAGGCAGAAAGGAAACCCATCAGTGTGGGTTTGGGGGGAGGGTGTAGCTGTGGGTTCTTGAGGAGCAGAACTACTTGAAGAAATGGCACTTTTTGTGGAGGGATCCTCTTGACAGGTACCAGTGTGTATCTGGCAGGGCAGATGAGTCCAGGCCTGTAGTGACAAAGATGCGTCCCAGGCTGGGCTGGTTGTTATGGCCACCCTTCTACCTCACTGTCTCTCTGTGGCAGAGGGCAGTCTCAGGTCCATGGGCACAAAGAGGCTTCTTGTGTTGGCAGGGTCCTTTGTGGCAGGGTCCCTCTTGCCAGTGCTACCCAGCTGCCCCACTCACTCCTGGTGGGGAGGAGAGATCCATGGACACAAAGAGGATTCCAGGGCTGGGCTGCTTGTTGCGGTGGGGTCTTTCTCACTAGTGCTGCCTGGCCATCCTGGTATCTGTCCATGGGACAGAAGAGTCCCAGGCCTGGCAGTGAAGGAGAGCACTTCCCTGGGTATCCTGATTGATTCCCCCTTACCAGTTCTGGTGGGCTCCCAGGGTATTGACAGGACTCTACTTGAATGGTGGAAGAATGAGCCAAGCTGGGCTACCTGGGTTGCTAGGTTGGGGTTAGGAAATGCTGGGCCTTGGTTTCCTCCTCCTTATGGTTGAGGGGGAGCATAAGATGTGCTGGTACTTTGTTGTTTCTTCGGTCCTAGGGACCCAAACCAGTCGTCTTCCTTTTAGCACCTTTCAGTGCTCTCCTTTGGTTGCCTCTTACATTGTTTCCAGAGTTTGTTTATTAGAGGGAGAAACAAGTCCATGCCATCTTGTCCAGACTGGAAGTCGTCCCTCTTTACATTTTTAAATGTTGTATTTATAGTAGTAATAAAATACGGTAAAGCAGTATTTAACACTGTTATCTTTTTTTGGGGCAGTTCAACTTTCTAAATTGCTTCGCCTCACTTTTCTACATTGCCTTTGTCCTGAAGGATATGAAGCTTTTGCGCCAGGTGAGTGTGAATAACAGAAAAGTATCAAATTTTTAGGTCTTACAGGTGGTTTCCTATATTCAGCTAATATTATTGTCTTTAAATTATTATTTTTACAAATCTTTTAGATTGTGTATATTTCTAAGCCCAACTCTAAATAAAAAACCATTAACAATTATACTGTATATTGTACTCAGCTAAAAAGAAATTAGTTGAACCTAACCAACTTACAGAATTAATCATATAGGGCAGTAAAATCAATTATATAGTTTGCTTCAAAGCTTGTCAAGGTAATTGTAACAGCAAACATGTAGTATTTATTAATTAAACTTTTTTGTGTGTTTCAGGGTAGGGGTGATTGGTTTAAAATTTAATTTTTAAATGAATAAGTTGTTAAACTTTAGAGACCACTGGATCCTATGCAGTGCTGTATCTTTTCTGAAATGTATAAGAAAGTCTAATATTTTGGTATGCTGCCATTTCTGGATCACATAATACCAGGTAGTAATAAATCGAGTACAAATTATTGGTTTCTAAATTCTCTTTTTTATACTCGAGCCAGTTAGCAGTAAAGGGCAATTGCTTCCTAGTTTTAATGTTCCGAGATTGTTAGTGAGCAGTGTTTCAAAGCTTGGACTTAATAATAGTTATGTGAGAACTTGGGATAATTTTTCAGGAAATTTAAAAATTTGTATGATCAGAGAAGATTAAAAGATTTTGAAATTGTGGTTCCAACAGCTTGCATGAAAGTAAAATTTAATGTTGTGCTGTTAGCAACTCTACTAGATACATTGCTACTTCTTAAAAATTATTTTTGAAAATTGAGAAAGTTCAAAAATAATACATTTGGAATTTATATAAGCTGGATTACTTACCTTCTCTGGTCCCATGCATTAGCGTATTAGGGCATGACTTTTCGTTTCTTATACTTTAGAAAGTCTCCTTTATTTAGCAGAGAACAGGATAATGGAGGAGGACTCTTTAAAAAATAGGATTGTAATACTAGCAAAGGTTGTGTGTGATGGAAACACTCACATCCATCTGAGGAAAGTGAAAATTGACACAACATTTCTGGAAACCAGCTTTCTTGGTAGCTTTGCCAGGAACCTTAATTCTAGTAAGTCTTCAGAGATTCGACAAAGATTCATGTACGTAGATACCAAAGCAGCAGAATTTGTAAGAGTGAAAGTTGGGAGTAATCCTTAATTCATTAGCAGTGTATTGGTCAAGTAAAAATGAATTTTTAATGACATGGGAAAATGCTCACTATATATTAAGAGAAAAAAGCAATATACAAAGTTGTATACATATAGGATAATTATAGTTTATTTTTACAAATGACTGGAAAGAAGTATCTCAGATGTAACAATAATTCTGTCATGGTTGTAGAATTATGAGTGGCTTTTTTTTTCCTATTTTTTAAAAACATTTTTATTGATATATAATATATATTTTTATGGGTACATGTGATATTTGTTACATGCATAAAATGTGTAATTATCAAGTCAGGGTATTTCGGATGTCCGTCACTGTAAGTATTTATTGTTTCTATCTATGGGAACATTTCCAATCCTCCTGTCTGACTGTTTTGAAATATACAATACATTGTTGTTACCTATAGTCACCCTACTCTGTCATCAAACATTAGAATTTATTCCTTTTATCTAAATGTATGTTTGTAACCACAGACTAACCTCTCTTTAACCTTTCCCCCTACTGGACCCTTCTAAAGCGTTGGTAACCATCATTCTACTCTCTACCTTCATGAGATCAGCTGTTTTAACTCCTACATACAAGAGAGAATGTGTGATATTTGTCTTTCTGTGCCTGCCTTATTTCATTTAATGTAATGCCCTCCAGTTGCATCCATGTTGTTGCAAATGACGGATTTCATTCTTTTTATGGTCAGGTAGGATCCTATTGTGTATATATACCATGTTTTCTTTATCCATTCATCCATTGATGGACACTTAGGTTGATTCCATATCTTTGCTGTTGTGAATAGTGCTGCAGTAAACATGAGGGTACAGGTATCCCTTTGATATACTGATTTCCTTTCCTTTGGGTAAATGGCCAGTAGTGAGATTGCTGAATCAAAGGTAGTTCTATTTTTCGTTTTTTGAGAAATCTCCATACTGTTTTCCATGATGGCTATAGTAATTTACATTCCCACCAACAGTATATGGGAGTTCCCTTATCTCTAAATCATTACAAGCATATGTTATTTTTTGTCTTTTTGATGATAGCCATTCTATTAATAGCTGGGTTGAGATGATACCTCATTGTGGTTTTGATTTGCATTTCCCTGATGATTAGTGATATTGAACATCTTTTCATATACTTTTTGGCCATTTGTGTGTCATCTTTAAATAAAGATGTGTCTGTTGAGAGATGTCTGTTGATGTCCTTTGCTCGCTTTTTAGTGAGATTTGTTTTTTTGTTTTTGTTTTTTTTTGCTATTGAGTTGTTTAAGTTCCTTGTATATTCTGGATTTTAGTCTCTTGTTGGATGAATAGTTTGCATGTATTTTCTCCCATTCAACAGGTTGTCTCTTTACTCTGTTGATTGTTTCCTTTGCTGTGCAGAAGCAATTTAGTTTAATACAGTCCCATTTGTCTGTTTTTGTTGTCTGTGCTTTTGAGGTCTTAGCTATGAGTTCTTTGCCTAGATCAATGTCCTGAAGTGTTTTCCCTATGTTTTCTTCTAGTAGTTTTATAGTTTCAGGTCTTATGTTTAGGTCTTTAATCCATTTTGAGTAAGTTTTGTATATGTTGAGAGATAGGGATCATTCTTGTGCATATGGGTAGCCAGTTTTCCCAGCACCATTTACTAAAGTGTTTTTTTATGTTCTTGCTGCCTTTGTAAAAAATCAGCTGGCTATAAATATGTGGATTTTTTTTCCATTTTCTATAGTGAGGATGTATTAGTTTTATAACTGAATTTTAAAAACATTTTAGCAAACTACTTTTTTTCAAAGTTGGCAACATCATTTAGATTCATATGTTGCCTTTAGGATGAGATGACAAAAAACATAATTTTAAGTTAATTCATTTCCCTGCTGATTCTTGACTGGTTTATTTCTTATTACAATCTTATTTGTATTTTAATCTAAGTCTTTCTTGTGAAAAAGTATAAATTAAAAACATCATTCTAACACCTGGCTCTTCTAATGCTAGTTTTTATAACACAATAGTATATCATTTATTGAAGATTCTATTTTGTTTATTACATAATTATCTATATGCTATGGTTTCATTAATCTACATTGCCAAATATGATTTATGTGTTCCTCTTTAGAGCCTGGCCACTCTCCTGATTACCTCCCAGATCCTTAACCAAATCGTGGAATCTCTTCTTCCTTATTGGCTCCAAAAGAAGCATGGTGTGCAGGTGAAGAGGAAGGTGCAGGCTTTAAAGGCAGACATTGATGCTACGTTATATGAACAAGTCATCCTGGAAAAAGAAATGGGAACTTACATGGTAGGTTGGAATATTGCTAAATTAAACATTTATTGAAAATGAATAACCGTTGTGCACTGAATTCAACAAATGTTATACACACTCATCATCTCAGATGTGACTATGGTATAATTGCTTTCTGGCCAGTTTTCTCACCGTGAATCACTTTAAAGTTAAAAAGATGGAACTATCCATTTAAATGCTGCTATCTTGAATCTGAAGTTAGGCCTGACAACACCACAGGGCAAGTTGAAGCATTCTGTGACTGCTCTAGGGAGAAGGGAGTAGGAATAGTTGCTTTGGAGATGACAGAGCAAGGGAGCATTGGTTTCTGGAGAGGCAGCAACTTTGCTCACTCCTGATACTTTGAACTATAGAAAATGACTGCTCAAGCAAAAGATTGAGGCCCATTGCTGAAAAATGGAATGCCAATCTGAAAATTAGCTTTTAGTTTAAATTAGTGCTATTGTATAAATATGAAATAGTTCCTTTAAGACAGAGTTTCTGTTTTTTTTTAAGGAACTACAAGCAGATCATTAGAGGTGTGGTACTTGTAATAGTTGAAAAGCTCTAGCTCATAAAACCTAACCATGTGTTCAGCAGACTTGCATTGAGCTTTGACTGTATTCACTATCTCCATACATTGGGAGGTGTGTTGGGATCACGTTTGTTTCAGGCCATTGCTTCATATACCCTACACCTTCCTTCTTGGTACAGTGTTCTTCCTGGTGAGATAGGTCCTTCAGTGGTTCATTCACTGGGAGCCCATTGTTGTTAAACTTTCATAGTCTCATTTTTCATCTTGAATGAATTTGTTTCCTGATTATTGAGTTTCTTGGCTGAATTTCACAGTCTTTCTCATATGCTTAAGAATTTTAGTTTGTATGTTCAACTTGAGCAGGAGTTTGTCCTCCTTTTCTCTCTGCTCACTTCTGCCTTAGTTTTTGCAGTTGCCCCCACTAAGCTTCCAAGTCCCTAGTCCAGAACCAGGTGTTTGCAGCCCAGAGCTCCCATCTTGGGGTGACAGTGAGGATTTTGTAGATCTGGTCACAGAGCCAGGAGGCAGTGTACTCTTGAGACAAGTTGTAGTTCCTGGACAGCAGTTCTGGCTTTTTTCAGGCCCTCTGAAAGGAGAGAGGACCATTGTCCCAGCCTTGGTTTCACTCAGTTAGCGTGGTTCCAGTTTCACTCCAGGGAAGGGTGTGCTCCTGATTCTCCTGCCTCACAGGATACAGATCCTAGCCACTTCGGATGGTCAGTGGACTTGGACTGGCCCTGTTCTGGCTTACTATCTTGAATTTCGTCCATTTCTCACCTATGCAGTTGTTTTTGTTTCCAGGTGGCAGTTATGTCTTTGATTAAAATATACACATATGTACTAGCATTTTCTGTCCTTTAATTAAGGGAGAAGATGATTAAAAGTATAAGCACATAGTACATCTTACACAGCAGCACTCTTTATGTTTATGTGTGAGGTATAGAGAAAAATACCAAGGCACACACAGAGGGGAGATGAAAAAAAGGAGCATGGGTGTGGTATGCAACCGTCATTCTTGGATTGAGTGAGTGCTAGCGTACAATGGGTTAAAAGCTCAGTCTAGTTTACAGTATGGCAGGATCCTTTCCTTGCCTGTGCTGGGGGTTGGTATTTTTGGACACATTTATTTTTCTTCCTTTATTCTCTTTGAGAAACTACACAGTCATGTCACCCACGTTCTCATTTCATCTCCCTCACTTTTGCAGGCTTCATGTTCCCTGCCTTCACCTGGTGCTCCTATATCTCCTGCTGCCCTTTCTAACTGCCCCAGCTGTCAGCAATTGCCTGCTTTAAACTAAGCAAACCGTCCACACTCTCTGCTGTTGATGTCCTCTTTGCTGCCTCTCATAGTTTTCTGCAGTAATTCTCTGTATTGTCTCTCATTTCCTACTTCTTTTCCTATAGCCAATTAGAATTTACTTTTAGCTCTTTTTCTCTGAAATTATTTGGGCTAACGGTATCATCCCCTAAAGTGTCCCAAACCAAATCAGCCTTCTCCGTACAGGTTTCTCTTGCTTTGCCCCTGGCTCAGTGAATGGTGTACAGTAATCCAAACACCATACCCCTTGTCTGAGCAGTTCTTATTTGTCTAAAAACTGTATGCCAATGAGGTGATGCCATCAGATCATAGATCTGATCACTTCTGGCATCTCACGACATCTGACAATACCTTTATAAGGAAAGTGAGGGAGGCAACAGTTCTTCCCATGTCAAAAAGAGGCAACTGAAACTCTTATGTTATTAATAATTTGGTGACTAAATCAGGAATAAGATTCAAGACTTTGCTTTCCTGTTTCAGACTCTGTTTATACTGAAATAAAGGACACAATGTACGAATTTTCTCTTGCAGGTCCTGGGTCTGTGAGTGAACTCTAGGGTTGGCAGTGTCGCTTCTTAAGGTGCCTAAAGGGTCCTGCCTGGTCTGGCCGTTTCCCCTCCTCATATCCTACAAGTTCCTTTTACTCTCTCTACTGGAGTGACATTGGATATTTGCTATTTCAGTTCTCCTCATATATTTGGAGAGGGGAGATGCTTTCAGGTCACATTTGTTCTAGGCGATTATTTCCTATGCATTAATCCTTTTTTCTGGGTGTATTTTCCTCCTGCCTGAATTCAATGAATTTAGAATTGTATTTTCTTTAATCTTATCCTGACTGCTGTAATGAGTCTAAAATAATATTGCCAAGCTTTAGGAAAAGCAATTTGGCTGAAACTTAAGAAAATATTATTATAAAAGTAATACTTGCTCACTCACTATAGAAAATTTGGAAAATGCAAGACAGAGTAAATAAGAAAAAGAAATCCTCTGTAATATGCCCACCAAGGGTAATCCACTGGTGTTTCCTGACCCTGGCTCCACCAGTCCAGGGCTAAGCTATGTTTCTTCTTAGATCTTCACTATCCACTGCCTACCTTTTTCTGGAAACTGCCAGTTCACATCCAACTTCATAACTGCCCAAGGCTGAATTTTCATAATGAATGTCTAAACTAGAACAATGTATTACTATACAGTAAATGAGCAGCCTTCTATTAAGCTAGATATTACGGTGGTTTGCCAAAAATGTAAATGAGTGTCACTTTGCACCAAACCTTTTTTGTTTTGGACTGTACTGATTTTTAAAAGAATATTTCATTTATGTTAATATGTTATTATTTAAAGGAATTAATGAAATTTTAAAATTTCTCAGTTTTAATTGATAATATGGTAAATATCACTAGCTATAATTCACATAAACAATAGGTCTTTAACGTCTTCAATAATTTTTAAGAGTTTAGGGCTCTCAAGACCAAAAAGTTTGAAAACTGCAGATCTAGAGTAACCCTCTTGCCGTTTTTCAAGGCATTGACTTTTGTGAATCCATTGTCTGATTGTTTCTTCCTAAGATCTGAGTTAAACTTTGGACGTGTACTTCTTGCACCCCACCAGCAGGTATTGACATCAGGCTGTCTCACTTGGTTACACTGCAAAGGTTCTTTTTCATTTTGTAATAAATAAGTTATCTGTGGGTAGATACTTTGAGGCTTTCCTCTTCCCTATACATGGTATCTCTTCAAAAATGTATTTTCTAATTTTTTGTTGCTGTCATACGGTAATGCTGTTGTTTTTTGTGTCTTTTACTCAACAACTTCGCTGAACTCGCCTATTATTTCCGATATATTTTCTATATATTTTGTTGGATTTTCTATGTAGACAGTTATTTTAAGTATAAATAATGGACATTTTCTTTCTTTTTTCAGTTTTCATCTATTAGGCTCACTGGTATGAGTTACTACAGGAATCTTTATATTGTTTCTGATTTTTTGTATTCTCACCATGGTTGGGTATTATGTTTGTTTGATGTTTTTAGTAAGTAACTTCTTATCAGTTTAAAAATGTTATTTTCTCTTCCTTATTTTATTTATTTATTTATTTATTTATTTTTGAGACAGAGTCTTGCTTTGTTGCCCAGGCTAGAGTGAGTGCTGTGTCATCATCCTAGCTCATAGCAACCTCAAACTCCTGGGCTCAAGCAATCCTGCTGCCTTAGCCTCCCGAGTAGTTGGGACTACAGGCATGCGCCACCGACTAATTTTTCTGTGTATATTAATTGGCCAATTAATTTCTTTCTATTTATAGTAGAGTTGGGGTGTCACTCTTGCTCAGGCTGGTTTCGAACTCCTGACCTCGAGCAATCCGCCCGCCTTGGCCTCCCAGAGTGCTAGGATTACAGGCGAGAGCTACCGCGCCCGGCCTCTTCCTTATTTATTAAGAGTTTTTATTATGAATGATATTTTATCAATTTTTTTGCTTCTGTTGTGATTATTGTATTATCTCCTTAATTATTTAATGTTTTTATTTACATTAATAAATTTTCTTAGGGAATACCATGTTCACATTTAAGTGATTAATTGTTCATTATTTTTTATATACGTTGCTATGTAGAGTATGCTAATATTTTATTTAGAGTTTTTGTACCATTGGTGAATAATTTTCCTTTCTCAGTCACTGAAGGTAGGGTCCTCATGTTATTTATTGTGGAAACTCTGTTTCTAACACAAAGCCTGGCATTCAGCAATCACTCAATATAATATTGAATAAAAAGAACAATTTAAGGAAGAGAATAGCCCAGTCCCTGCTGTCTGTATACTGATTGTTGCCTTCACTCTATACTTTCTTTCCTTGCCATTCAAATCTGCACTAAATAAATGTGCTTAGGATAGGGAACTCTGAGATATGTGAAGAAAAAGTGGGATGGGTCACCTGGAACCTGAAACTTTGCCTTTATACAATTAATAACTTAGATATGTAAAATTAATTATGATGATTTTCACAGATATACCACAGTATTCTTGTTTGTTTTTTGAGACAGAGTCTCATTCTGTCCCCCTGCGTAGAGTGTGGTAGCATCATCATAGCTCACTGCAACCTCAAACTCCTGGGCTTAAGCCTCCCAAGTAACTGGGTCTACAGGTGTGAGCCACCACACCCATTAACTTTTCTGTT